ATAAGTGCATCTCTCAACCTTCATCAAAGAGGCTCCTTTTTGCAGTAGATAGCAATCATTAATAGGGAGACTGATAACTAGTCAACATGCAAAGGATAAGAAACTACAGAGTGAGCTGGGCGTTGGTGGCCCATGCCTTTAATCCCAGTACTTGGGAGGCAGAAGCAGGCGGATCTCTGTGAGTTAGAGGCCAGCCTGGTCTACAGAGCGAGTTCCAGGACAGGCTCCAAAACAATACAAAGAAACCCTCGCTCGAAAAACAACAAGAAACTACAGAGTGACCAGCCCAAAACTGGACATCTGTACACCACCATCCTCCCAAGGCTTAGGGATCATTGAAAAAGAGGGGGTGGTGATGGGGGAATTCCTTCTGTGTATATGTTGTCTTATTGGTTGATTAAATAAAGCACTGTTAGCCAATAGGGAAGCAAGATAGGTGGGACTAGGATTTGAGGAGGATTCTGGGAAACAGAGGCATAGTCAGTCACAATGTAGGACAAGGGAGAAGTAAGAGGTCAGGACCCTTTTCTCTGGTAAGAGAAGACCACGTGGAAACACTCAGATTAGCAGTTATGGCTTAATAATTCAGAGCTAGCCAATAAGAAACCAAGCAAATGGCCAACTGCTTCATAATTAATATAGTGTTTCGTGTGTTATTTGGGGCTGAGACAGCTTGGGACGCAGGCAGCTGGCAGGAAGACTACACGTTACAGGGTGGAAAGACTATAAAAGCCAGAGGCTACGGATAACTATCATGAAATAGTGTTTCCTGGGCACAACAGGCAATCACATATACGAACTCTCAGCAGTGATATAGCATTCACAGACTTGTCCAAGATCAAGCAACACAAAATCCTAGGATAGAACAGGGAGATGGTTATCAAATCCTACACCTAGCTGAAGAGTTATTAGCAATGATAGTTATTGAATAAAGGAAAAATCAATTTTCTTCAGGCATGCAGGACATGAAAGGCTACCTACCCATGCTTCAGCAGATGGTCTTCAACCCATGGACAATACAGACAGCACTAAGTTGATTCAGTGATTTAAAAGAACAGAACTCATGATGTTAGGACAGAAAAGGAATAGAAATGATCATGAAGGAAACAGGGGATGGGTTTGTGCAAAAAATACATTATTGTGTGTGTGTGTGTGTGTGTGTTGTGTGTGTGTGTATCAAATTCTCAAATAATAAAAAAAGAATCTATGCATTTCCAAATGATATTTTCATTGTTTTTCCTTTTTTTCCCCAAGACAGGGTTTCTCTGTGTAGCCCTGGCTGTCCTAGAACTTGTCCCATAGACAGGGCTGGCCTCGAACTCATAGATATTTGCCTGCCTCTGCCTCCCAAGTCCCAAATTAAAGGTGTGTTCCACCACATCCTGGTTATATTTTTATTTTTAAACAGCAACCACATAAAATTAAATTCTTACTTTATTGTATATTAATTAAATTATAAAGATCCATGCACAAAAGATTAAAAACTTCATATATAATATCCAAAGAATAGATTTATAAGAAATGAGCTTGCACTGAAAAAGAATTTCAGAACATATATGCACATGTCCTATGTATATTTGTACTCAACTTAAAAGTGAGTTTTCACATATCTTACTATTAACAAAAACACAATTTTATTGTTGTTGTTTTAAGCCATGGTTTTTCTATGTAGCCCTGGTTGTCCTGGAACCCACTAGCCTTGAACTCAGTGATGCATCATCTGCTTCTGTCTCCTAAGTGCTGGGAATAAAGGTATGCTTTACCATGCCTGGCAAATACACAATTTTTAAAACATCATTTATGGATCTAAGGAAAGAATTTTATTTGGATCAGTGTCTAATTTGATGAGATCACCTCAAAAGAACTTTTAAACTTCAGATTTATTAAATATCTCCTTTAATAATTAAAATGAGGGGGCTGCTGAAAAAGCTCAGAGGTTTAGAGCACTGGCTTCTCTTCCAGAGGTCCTGAATTCAGTTACTAGCAACCACGTGATGGCTCACAACCATCTATAATGGGATCTGGTGCCCTCTTCTGTCATGCAGGCAGAAAGCTGTATACATAATAAATAAATCTTTAAAAAATAATACTTAAAATGAAGTAAAAATTCAGCAAATTTGGGGCTGGAGAGATGGCTCAGTGGTTATGAGCACTGGATGGTCTTCCAAAAGACCCAGGTTCAATTCCCAGCACTACCCACATGGCAGTTCACAACTGTCTGTGACCGCAGTTCCAAGGGATTCAACTCTCTCTTCCAGCATCTTGTACACTCATATACATAAACCTAAGTTAAATGTAAAAAATGTGTTGAAAATGCACCAAATTTTAAGCAATGGGACATTATGCTGATAGACTTTTCCATTAAAGAAGTATGAGTTAGTATCAGAAACATTCTTTCCAATGAGGAGAAACCACAATCACAAAGTCAGGAAATAAATTCATGTAGAACAGACTGAATACAGCCCAGAGTTAAAGTCAATGTTAATTTGTTTGTTTAATGCGTTATAATTTCTTAGCTATATATTTACTGTTCTACCTCTAAGATATAAATTATTTGTATAAATAAATCTGTTTTTAACTTAATAATTAACCTCTTCTCTTTTGTGTAACATAACTTTTTTAAAAGAACAAGTGAATTTACAAACGCCCATGACCAGATGACTTCATTACCAACTAAGGAAAGAATGCCAACTCTTCAGTGAGTTTTTTGCCGGGCATTGGTGGCACACACCTTTAATCCCAGCACTCGGGAGGCAGAGGCAGGTGAATCTCTGTGAGTTCGAGGCCAGCCTGGTCTACAGAGCAAGTTCTAGGATAGCCTCCAAAACAATACAGAGAAACCCTGCCTCGAAAAACCAAATATATATATATATATATATATATATATATATATATATATACACACATATATGATGTATATGTATGTATATATAGACTTAAAAATTAACAAGTGTTATAATTTAAAAGACACTAACAGAACAGGACCAGAAAAATGACTCAGTGAGTAAAAGTGTATGTCCCAAGTCTTGATGACCTGAATTCAATCCTTAGAACCCACAATAGAAAAGCCTGATTCCTGTAAATTGTCCTCTGACCTCCATGAACATGCCCTGGCACATGTGCCTCTCTGCTCTGACAAAATATACAATGAACAAATAAATATGAAAGGCAAAAGGCAATCTACAGACTAGGAGAAGACTTTTGGCGATCACATATTTAGATAAAAGACATATATCTAAAATACAGAAAGAACTATTGCAACTCAGTAATAAGCAAATACTCCACTTTAAAATGAGCCAAGGAAAGAAAACAAAAATGGAAAAAAAATGAGAAAAGGCACCAGTGTGGTGATCCACACCTGGAACTCTAGCACTCTGGAGGCTAAAGCAGGAGGTTCATGGCAACATTGAGACGTCAGCCTAAGTTATCTGTGAGTCTAAGCAAACCAGGGCAATACAGGGAGACCCTGTCTCAAGACGAATAATCAAGAGAGCTGGGAATGTAGCTCAGTTGGTAGAGTACTTGCCTAGCATGCATGAAGCCCTGGGTTTGATTCTCTTGACTACATAAGCCAGACACGGTGGCACATGAGTGTAATCCCAGCACTTGGGACGTAGAGGCAGTAAGATCAGAAGTTCAAGATCATCTTCAGCTACATAACAGGTCTAAAGCCAGCCAGAGATACAAGATTCATCTCTCACACACAAAAAAGAACAAGAGGTCTGAATTTTTTTACAAAGAAAATATAGAGGTGATCATTAAGTGTGAAAAATTGCAAATATCTAGTTATGGCAATACATATCAATATCACAATTCAATATTATCTCATACCCTTTACTCTATCCAAAAATAAAAATACAGATAATAAACATTGAGAAATATGTGGAGAAAATGGAATCCTCACATTGCCTTTTGCTTTTCTTTTTCCTTCCTTCTTCCTTCCCTTCCTTCCTTCCGAGACAGCATCTCACTGTATATCCCAGGCTAGTCTCAAATTTATAGTTTTCCTAAACCCTAAACTTGGCCTCCCATATGCACCATACCAAGTCTGTTTTGGTGTTTGCTTTTGTTTGGGGTTTTGGTTCTGAGTAAAACCAGCTTGGAACTCTTGATCTTCCTGCCTCCACCATGAGCATCCTTGTTTATGCTAAGCTGTTTATTGACAGCCTCCCAAATACACACTGAACAATATCCAGATGGGTCTTGCTCATTACATGTATAATAGCCTTTAACTCTGTGCTGTTTTCATTGTTAGAGTTCTCAATGTTCTATCTTAAGAGACTTGTAGCTGGTCCGTGGTGCATGCCTGTAATCCCAGCACTTGGGAGGCAGAGGCAGGTGGATCTCTGTGAGTTCGAGGACAACCTGGACTACAGAGCGAGTTCCAGGACAGGCTCCAAAGCTACACAGAGAAATTCTGTCTAGAAAAAAAGGGATTTGTGAATCCAAATTCTTTCAGTACATTTTTAATCCTAACATTGTATCATCTATGCATTTGATATACACACCTTACAAATGGTTCCCCAAGTAATTAATAAGGTTGAAAATGGTAATCTTGCCAATTGACCTATGAAGGCATGCACACCTCTGCTACACCCCCATATCAATACATTGAAGAGTCAAAAAACAACATTGCCTAGCTTTCACTTTCAATCTTAGGAGGGTTATACAGGAACTTCTACCTCTATGAAGCCTTTCTTTACCTGGTACCAACCTCAACTCAAGCAGAACTGAATTATTCATCTATCTTTATTACACTTACACCTCCCCTCACTTCACTGCACCGCATTATAGTGATTTGTTAACAATTCTGTCTCTGTAACAAGGCCAAGCTCTCTTAGACAATAGAGATTTCTTTAAGTTCCTTAAAGCCTAGCACAACTACCAAAATTTTGTTAGCACTAAAAATCCGAACATGCCTTGCAAGTCAAATACAACAGTTCCTATTTTCACTGTCAGTGTTACCACATGAAGTCTAAAGATATTTCAAATATACTTACCTGTAGCAAAAAGCAAGCTGCATAGCTCAGTAGAGAAGGATGGTGGACTAAATTTAAGCTGTTTTTATACTCTGTTACTCCAGCATTTTCTAAGAGTTGGGGATCAATGTATACTCCTCCTTCAAATGGTGTGGACATCCATAAGCACTGAACCATAACTGTCAAATAGTAATTAAATTCTTGACAGATGTTGCTGCTAAGACTGAACTCTGATTTTTCCTAATGGGAATGAAATAAAATAGTCATTAACATCTATTATTCTTTTCCTTTTTATTCTTAACAGGTCCCATATATTTATACTTGGTTATTTATAAAAATGGTGATTTAACACAGATTTCGCCATCATACCTTCTTTAAAAGGTTGTTTTTCTTTGCAGCTGTCAAATTATTGCGATACCTAAGAATAAAAAGCAAATATAACAAAGCATTTAAAATGTCATTGGATATAATGCTTCTGAATGTAAAATAAAAATTTTTAAATATACATGTTAGGGCTAGAGAGATGGTTCCATTGGTAAAATAGCTACTACAGAAGCACAAGTACCTGACACTGGATTTCTAACACTCATGCAAAAACCAGATTTGGTTGCATGTATCCCTAACCCTAGCAACCCATGCAAAAACCAGGTTTGGGGTTTGGTTGCTTGTATCCCTAACCCTAGCAACCCATGTAAAAATCAGGTTTGGGGTTTGGTTGCTTGTATCCCTAACCCTAGCAACCCATGCAAAAACCAGGTTTGGGGTTTGGTTGCTTGTATCCCTAACCCTAGCAACCCATGTAAAAATCAGGTTTGGTTGCATGTATCCTTAATCCTACCAACCCATGCAAAAACCAGGTTTGGTTGCATGTATGCATCCCTAACCTAGCACTGTGGGGGTTGGCAGGCGTAAACAGACATGGGCAGGTCTCTGGAGCTCTCCAGTTAGCTACTGCAGGCAGTTAGTGAGCTCTTGGTTCAGTTACAAAACCTGTCTCAAAAGTAAAGTGCAAAGCGATAGTGGAAGATACTTGGCATTGACCTCTGACCTCCACAAAAATATTCATGAAAGTGCACACACGCAATCATGTGCGCACACACAAGTACATTTTAAAGTAAATAAATGCAAATGTGCACAAATACAAATATCTAATTTGTTAAGGATTTTACACTTTAATGGTACATTTCCACAAAGACTTTTTAAAGTTAGGGCTTATAGGTAGAGTTCACTTGGGTAGCATGCTCGAAGCCCTGATTCAATCGTGAATACTACAATAAAATAAATAAAAAGAGGCTCAAAGTTAGTTGGAGGATGACAAGAGAGCTCAGTGGGTAAGGCGCTTACCATGAAGTCTGACCCCCTAAGTTTGATCCCCATATAAAAGGATAAGGGAAGAACTGACTACACAAAATCGTTCTCTGACCTCCATGTACACACTGCCACACGTGCGCACAATACTGACACGTCTTTAAAAAAGACTGAATCAGACATTTCAGATGTGCTCTTACTATAAATATAACTCAATAGAAAGAAAACAATGAAAGGGTATTTCATTATTAAAGCAAGCAGTCAATCACTGATACAGAACACATGTCCCTTATGTAAAACAAGGTACAGCAGGCCAGTGAGCTAACTGAGCAGGCAAAGAAAGACTCGACATCAAGCCTGATGACATGACCTTCATGCCTGGATCCCACATGGTAGAAGGAGAGGAGTTACTCAGAAGTTGACCTATGACTCCTAATGTATTGTTTAATACACACACACATACACACACTAACCAACATCAACAAAAGACCCAAGTAAATGTAAAAAAGTTAAAAGATACAGCTGAACAATGAAATCCAGAAATGTAATCTTTTTCTTATCTGAGAACTATCATCTAACTATTTTAATATTGACGAAGCTCTACAAATTATGCTGGAGCAGTCTATACTTATGGATTAAAAATAACCTCAGTCCACAAGTAAAAGAGCAAAAGGGTAGAAATAATACTTAGAGGGTCACATAGCTGGCAGTAAATGGTCCCTATTGCCTCCCAGAAAATGTCCCTTTTACCAGAGAAACTATATGCACTTCAGCAGATATCAACGAATGATTAATTTTTAACACACAGAAATTTTAATTAACAAAGCTGAGTGCAGCAATGTCATTACGTAACAAACCAATCCGCAGCAAAGACTTTTAATTCCATATGCCCTACAGGGGGGGATTTAAAAATAGCACAGCTCCAGTTTTAGTGTTTTAAGGTACCACCATAATGCAGTTTGAAATCACTTTTAAAGCAAAATATGCCAGACTCAGAAAGATAAATACCATGTATTCTCTCATTTGTGGATCCAATATTTTATATAGACAGAAAACATCACTTACATATACATATTACATGAAAGCAGAAGCAAGACTGGAGGAAGGAACTAGGCTAGCAGGAAAGGGGGAAGGGAGCAAATAAAGCCAAAGAACATTATACACTACAATGCATATGTCTTTAGAAAAATCAGCACTATGTACAATGAGGATACTACAACAAAAATTTTCAATAATAAGCTGGGCGGTGGTGGTGCAGGCCTTTAATCCCAGCACTCGGGAGGCAGAAGCAGGTGGATCTCTGTGAGTTTGAGGTCATCCTGAACTGCAGAGTGAGTCCCAGGACAGCCAGAGCTACACAGAGAAACCTGTTTCCAAAAAAAAGAAACAAAAATAATAAAAATAATAACATAGCTATTAGAGCTTCATAAAAGAAGGTCATATACCCAAAAAGCCATGTGTCCTATTTCGACAGACCCTGACAGGAGATTGACAGGAATTTTAATTTTGTTATAGCTAAACAATGAAGATAGAGTTATGATGTAATAATTCATAAAATGATTTAAAGGGAGACGGGGGCTTGTACCTGAATATAATGTAACAAAGTTGGTTCAAGATACTGGCATCCAGGCTTAGGAGTGCAGAATGGAAGATCACAGGAGGAAACAACACCAGTAATGGAAGATCATAACTTATATATATGTCGCACACCTTTTGGAAAGAATGTTAATATCAATATGTACATTATTTTCCACAAATCAATGAAGTTTACTCAAAGAATCATCAATATAAGTTAAGTAATAATATATCATCACATTTGAACCTGTCTAATTTCTAATTTTAAAAGATAGCTAGAATTCTGTTTAAACTATAACTCATCAAGCATCAATCTTAACTCAGAAAATTATTTTTATAAGACTTATTAAAATATTACATTTAGGTAGACCAGGTAGTGCATGCCTTTATTCCCAGCACTCAGGAGGCAGAAGCAGGAAATTCTCTATGAGTTCAAGGCCAGCCAAGGATACACAGTGAGATCCTGTCCCAAAATAATAGTAATATAAGGATACACAGTGAAATCCCATCCAAAATAATAACAATAACTATTATTATCATTATTATTATCATTATTGTTATCATTATTATTATTATTATTATTATTATTATTATTATTATTAGGCTGGAGAGATGGCTCAGTAGTTAAGAGCACTGTCTGTTCTTCCAGAGGACCCAGAACCCATATGGTGGCTCACAACCATCTGTAACTTCAGTTCCAGGGAATCCAATGCCCTCTTCTGGCTTCTGTGGCACCAAGTACGTTTGTGGTACATAGATATACATGCAGGCAAAGTACCCATACAAATAAAATAAAAGTAAATCAATCTTTAAAATCTTTCATCTTAGAACTGGAAAAACATGTTACAGTAAGGAAGCATTGCTTTCTCCCTAAGTCTCTCAAATATTCATCAGTATGCTGACTAGTTTTATGTCAACTTGATATAAGCTAGAATCACTTGGGAATAGGGAACCTCAATCGAGAAAAGGGCCTCACCAGACTGGACTATGGGCAATCCTACGGAGCATGTTCTTGATTAATGACTGATGTGGGAGGGCCCAGGTCACTGTGGATGATGCCACCTCTGGGCTGTAAAAAATCAGGCTGACCAAGTCATGAGGAACAAGCCAGTAAGAAGTACCCCTCCATGGCCTCTGCATCAGCTCCTGCCTCCAGGTTCCTGCCTCCAGTTCCCTTCACGGTGGACTGTGACTGGGAAATATAAACTGAACTAAACTAAACTAATTTGCTCCCCAAGTTGGTTTTGTCATAACGTTTTATCACAGCAATGGAAACACTAACTAAGATACTTGGCTACACATCAAATTGTGGTCACCTTGGGCTACATGAGACCTACCTCAAAACAAACAAAAAAAATCAACTAGCTCTTAGTGAATGAAGACAGACAACTGGGGAAAGGATGATTATAATGGGTACTTTGTGGTGGTGACAGTTTTACTCGTATTAAATCTGATAAAACAGTAAAAGGATTAGAATTATAAAGGTACTAGGTACCAGAAAAAAATTAAGCATTTGAAAGTCAGGAGTACAAATCTTAAAAAGCAATACAACTTTTTTTTTGTTCTGCTAGGGGATGGGAATAAACAATAGATCAACAATAAAAACAATAACAACAAGAAATGATGCTAGACACAGACTTCTGCCTAGGACCAGCTTTTTAATAGGTCAGTATATTATAAAATAGTATCTGAACTAAAAACCAACCAGATTTTCTTCTACAATTGTTCTATGAAAGTCAGTTACTCAGGTGAAAATAAACCATTAATTTCAAAACATGGTTATTTTAACTACATAGTAAGGTCATAACTTACCTTCACAATTATGCTTGAAATTTAAATCATAGGCCAATAAAGTGACTGCCTACCATAAATTTGTGATTTGTATACTACCTTCTCATAGAAGTCCAAAATAAAGTGCAACAACAATGTACTGTTGCTCTCCAAGCGTATTGCAATCATGGACAGCCAGCCTACATAATCAATCAACTGAGACACAGAGTTCATGGATCCACCCAAAGTTGTCTCCCTGTAATAAGAAATATAATACTCAGATACACACCAGCAAAGGTGCTCAGTTTCCAAGGTAAAGGTAGGCAATATAAAGCAATAAATGGAAACGGAATTAAAGTTATCGGTTCACCGGGCGTTGGTGGCGCACGCCTTTAATCCCAGCAATTGGGAGGCAGAGGCAGGCGGATCTCTGTGAGTTCGAGGCCATCCTGGTCTACAGAGCGAGTTCCAGGAGAGCCTCCAAAACAATACAGAGAAACCCTGTCTCGAAAAAAAAAACTATCGGTTCTCCAATGTACAATTCACTTTCTTTAAAAAAAAACAAAAGCACGGTGATTAACCATAGTATTGTGGTAAGTTCACCAACTTAGATGCCCCTTAACCCAAGAATGGATAAAGAAAATAAACAACGGTGTATTACTCAGATATTAAAAACAATGGCATTATGAAATTCAAAGGCAAATGGATGGAATTAGAAATATCATTCAGAATGAGGTAACACAGAACCAGAAAGACAAACATGGCATGCACTCACTTATAAGTGGACATTAGCTGTTTAGTAAAGGATAATCACACTACAATCCACAGGCCCAGAGAGGCTAAGTAAGAAGGAAGGCTCAAGGGGGCATACATGGATCTCCCTGAGAAGGGGAATTTAGAACAGCCTTTGTGGGTGAACTGGGGGTTTGTAGGGATGGGAACAGAAGGAATCTAGCAGGGAGGCAGAGAATACTGGAAGACACAACTGGAATTAGGGGGCATTTGGGGTGATATAGAAACACAGTGCAGTGCAAATGCCCTGGAATCTAGGAGAGTGACCCTAGCGAAGTCTCCTAGTAATGGGGGATATGAAGCCCGAACTGGCCATCTGCTATAACCAAGCAAGGCTCCTACTACTACTATAGGACTGGGACATCAACCTAGCCACAAACCCTTCAACCTACCATCTGTCCTGCCTATAAGACACACTGGGACAGTGGTGGCACAGATCTTGTGGAAGTGTCCAACCCATAACTGGTCCAAGGTGAGGCCCATGATACAAGAAGGAGTCCATGCCAGACACTGCCTGGATGGCCAGGAACAAGAGGCTGGAAACCCAGAGACCCAGGATAGAACAAACATGACTGCAAAAATGGAAATGATTCCTAATAATATTCTGCTATACTTATGGATTGGTGTCTAGACCAATTGTCATCAGAGGGGTGTTAGCCAGCAACCAATGGGAGCAGATGCAGAGACCCACAGCCAAACACTAGGTGAAGACAGGGGAACCCTGCAGAAGAGGAGGAAGGACTGTAGGAGTCAGAGGGGACTAGGACATCATGAGAACAAGGTCCACAGAAACTGAAGCATAACAGATCCTATATGGGTCTAAGCTAGGTCCTCTCATATACCTTATGGTTATATAGCTGGATGTTCTTGTGGGACTCCCAACAATGGGAGTGGGAGGTGTCTCTAACACTTTTGCCTATGCCTGGGACTCTTACTGGGTTGCTACATCCAGCCATGATATGAGGGTTTGTGCCCAGTCGCACTGTATCTTGTTAGGCTATATTTGGTGGATATCCCTAGAAGGCCTGCTCTTTTTATAGGAGTTGATTTGGGTGAAAAGGGACATGGGGGAAGAGACTGGGATGAGTAGAGGGAGGGAAAACTGCAGTCAGGATGTAATGTATGAAAGAAGAATAAAAGTTAAAAATAAATTAAAAGCACAGTGATCACTCTTAGTATCTATCTATATCCATCTATCTATCATCTGTCTGTCTATCTATCTATCTATCTATCTATCTATCTATCTATCTATTAAAATAGGGCCTCTTACTATGTAGCTCTGGAGGTCCTGGAACTTACTACTACATAGACCAGGCTATCCTTGAACTCAGATCTTTATGCACCACCAATGCCCAGCACTTTTGTCTTTTAAGTAACCATTAAGATAAACTCATAGAGCCAGGTGGTGGTGATACATACGTTTAATTCCAGCAATTGGGAGGCAGAAGCAAGTGGATCTCTGTGAGTTTAAGACCAGCCTCGTCTACAGAGCGAGTTCCAGGACAGGCCCCAAAGCTATACAGAGAAACCCTGTCTCAAAAACAACAAAAAATAAAAATGAAAAATAAAAAAAACCTCATAGATAGCCCATGTGGTGGCACATGCCTTTAATCCTGGCACTTAGGAGGCAGAGGCAGGTGGATTCTGTGATTCTGAGGAAAGCCTGGTCTACAGAGTGCCAGGACAGCCAGGGCTATTACACAAAGAAACCTGTCTCAAAAAACAAAACAAAGCAAAACAAAACGAACAAAGAAGTATCAACTCAGAACATTTTCAGCAACCAGATTATATTAGTAAATTTGAGAAGAAAAGAAAAGGATTAAGTTTCAAATTCTGGATAATGTTAAAATACTGAAAAACAATTGCAGTCAATATATTTGTCTCTAGTAATTGATTAGTACTGAATTCTAACACTCCTCAATTATGGAAATTCCTTAGTGAATAATAAACAAAATCATTAATAATGGGTATTCAATAACAATTCAAAGAAAAGGAGTTCATGACAAAGTGACATAAAATATTCAGAAAAATAAAAAATAAACAAAATAATAAGTAGGAAAGTGATGCTAAGAGTCATTTCCTATGCATCAAGAACACGGTAGCACACTGAATGAAACCCTTAGTACAGGAATCAATATCCGGTTCCACCTACTCCTCAGTAAAGTACTATCACCAGAAGTCAATCTAATCCAAAAACGGAATAAGCAGAGTGTTAGCATATTTCAATCTTCTAACTAAAACCATATCCAGGGTTTGGAGAGATTGCCCAGCAGTTAAGACTACTTGTTGCTCTTGCAGAGGACCCAGAGTTCAGTTCCCAGCAGCAGCAACATGGTAACTCACAACTATCTGTATCTCCCAGTTCTAGAGGATATGATGCCCTCTTTCAGTCACCATGTTCTATACAGACATAAACGCAAGTCAAACACCCATACACATATAAAACCTGGATTTATTGTATTCTCTACTAAATCAATAATATAATCTATTTAAACAACACAATATATAAAGTGAGTAGTTCAATCCATCAATTTCTCACGTGTATCTTTCAGTCCACAGTTAAAGATTTAGAAAAGATCTACAAATTTGAACTCATAGTTTTATCCTCCTATCTGGGTAGGTGGTTGATAACCCTGAAAAAAATGATGCACTGAAAAAAAGGATAATGTATACTAATGTGCGTCTGTGATAATATCTAGTCTCAGAGTTTAGGAGGTGATGACTCTCCCATTATTCACTACCATGATGGTTCAATGACAAAAACAGGGAAATATTACAGACCACTTAACAAACAAAGCACACTGCTTACTTACAAAACTGAAACAGCACACTTGAGACTTGGCAGGGCTTCACAAATGTGTCACAAATAATTGCAAACAATGATGACTGCTCCCAGCAACCTTTTCTTTTTACTGTAGTGCTGGACGTTTTGTTGCATTTTAGACAAGCGCCCTGCCATTGAGCCATACCCTCAGCCCTAGAAAAGACTTGGTGAGTGCTTCTTTGTAAATCACTGGCATTCTAAAGAAAACAATCCATGGTTCAGAAGTGTCTTATATCCCTACCCTCACCCCCTGCAGTATGTTCAGCATTCCCAGATGCCATCTCTTAAATGATAACAGCACCCTCTTTCCAGTCATTGTCACAACCAAAAATGTTCGTGGAAAATGATAGTGAGATGGTCTTCTATACTTCTCTTCTTAGGATTTTACAACATTTTACCCTCTTAGAGTCACTTACATGGCAAATGGTCATATAATAGAAATACAACATTATACTAGTTTTTCCAAAATGATTACTGAAAACTTCTAAGCTATACTGAACTTTTGTGTGTACACGCATGCACAGGCATACAGGCCACAATTTACACGTGAGGTCAGAAGACAATTCTTAGAAGTCTGTTCTCTCCTGGCATCTTGTGGGATCTTGATTTGAACTCAGGTTGTAAGACCTATACTCAAGCACCTGCTAAGCTGTCTCACTGGCACACAGGCAAATATGATGGCAAGGTTACCTAGACACTTGCCCACTTATCTTCTTAAAGGCTTAAAAAGCACTGTTCCTTTTTAGATGGTCTCCTCAAAGTTTTGAAAAAATGTCTGGGCTAAGAATTTAGCTCAGGGCTAGAGAGATGGCTCAGAGGTTAAGAGCACTAACTGTTCTTCCAGAGGTCCTGAGTTCAATTCCCAGCAACCACATTGTGACTCACAATCATCTATAAGGAGATCTGGGTCCTCTTGTGACATGCAGGCAGAACAGTGTATACATAATAAAATAGAAAATTAAAGGTCTCATCATTTAAAAAGAGAATTCAGCCCAGTAGTAGAACAATTGCTTAGCATGTATGAGACCTGTGTTCTGTCCTCACCACCACACAAAAGAAAAAGAGAAGTGTTTGTGCAAAGACACTACAGAAATTGTAAGGTACTTATTTCAAGGGTGTCTGAGATACAGTGAGAGTTGGCCAAAGGTTAAACAAGCAAACACCCTGTTCTAGTAGTATTTCCTTATAATAGTGGTTCATAAACTGAAGATTGCACTGGAAATGTGGGAGTGGCAAACCAAATTACTGGGTCACCTGAAGGGCTTAACTCAGTAGGTCAAGAACAGGGCTTAACACTTTCAATATCTGATAAGTTCCCAAGTGGTATTGGCACTTTTTTGACAATTAGAGCTTCATAAGATTTATTCGCTAGCTGATCATGGTGGCACATGCCTTTAATTCGAACACTCAGGAGGCAGAGGCAGGCAAACTTCGAGGCCAGTCTCATCTACAAAGCGTGTACAAGGTCAGACAAGGATACACAGTAAGACACTATCTTTAAAAAAAAGTCTTCACTAACCACTAATGCTCTATGTTCCATTTGTTTCTAAAAGTGGTCATAAGCATATAGAGAAACACTATAAAAACAAATGGGAAAAAATGTCCAGGCTACTCTACGTATAAGTCTCTATTCTCCTGCTCAAACTATAACTCACTCTAAGGATAAAAAGGAAAACAAAGCTGAGCTAAATGTTTGGGCACTGGTTCAATTTGCAATTAACAGCTAATTGGGAGAGTTGGGTAAGTAGCTCAGTTGGTACAATGCTTCCCCAGCATGAATAAACACTGGAATTGATCTCTAGCACCACACAAACTAAATATAGTAGACCACATCTACAATCCTAGCACTTAGAAGGCATTTGAGGGAGGATCAATAGTTCAAAGCCAGCCTCAGCTACACAATAAGTTTGAGGGCCACTTGGGATACATGAGACCCTGTCTCAAAAAAATAAAATGAAATGAAAATGAAACCTTTTGGGCTGGAGAGATGGCTAAAAAGGGTAAAGTATTTGTCATATAAGCCTGACAACCTGAATTCAATCCTCAGAACCCATATATAGTAGAAGGAATGAATCAAGCCCACAACATTGCCCTCTGACCCTCCCACACAACTGTGGCATGCATGTATAAATATGGGCATACATACACAAACAGATTGATAATAAATATTACGAAATTTTAAAACTGTTAACTTTAGGTATCATAACAGCACCATTTTAACAGCTGAGATAGTATCTGGGTTTCTCTAAAAATAATCTAAAGAAAAAAAAGAATAAGGAGAAAAATAAATAGTGAAAGGCAGTTTGAGGCTGGAGAGATGGTTCAGCAGTTAAGAAAAAACACTGTTCTTCCAGGGATCCTAAGTTTGGTTCCCAGTGCGTGGTTCACAATCATCAGTAAACTTTAGCTCCAAGGGATCCAAGACCTTTGGCCTCCAAGGGCACCTGAACACTCTCAACACACTCTCTCTCTCTCTCTCTCTCTCTCACACACACACACACACACACACACACACTAATACACTAAATTAAGTTAGTTGCTAATTGTTGAAACTGGATGATGTATATATACATGTAGTGTTTAAACTTGATTCTTAGCTTGACAAGATCCAGAGTCAGCATGGAAACAAACTCTATGTATGTTTAGGAGAGATTATCTAGATTAGCTTAACTGAGACATTGGAAGTCTAGATTAGCTTAACTGAGGCATTGGAAGGCTCACCCTAAATGTAGGTGGCATTTAGGGTTGGGGCCCTGAGCACAAGCATTCCTTGTTCTCTGCTTCCTGAATACAGACAGACTGTGACCAGCTGCCTGATGCTCCAGCAACCACGCCTTCCCTACCATGAAGGACTACACACTCTATTGAGAGCCAAAACAACCCTTCCTTCTTTAAGTTGCTTTTGTTAGTTCTTTTGTTGTTGCAACAAGAAAAGAATATACTAGGGGTTGGAAACATTGTACTCATGTACATGTGTGTGTGTACGTGTGCGCATGCGTGCATGTTGCTATCTTTGGAATGTATTATCTATTTATAATTTTAAAAGTATTTATTCCTTGGGAAGTTCATACAATGTATTTTGATCATATTTACCATCTCTCCCCCTTAACTCCTATCTCCCTATGCCCCCTCAACCTCATACTTTCCTCTTTTAAATTTTTATTCATTTATATTTTATGTATGAGTACTCTGCTTGTATGCCTGCATGCTAGAAGTAGACATCAGATCTCATTAAAGATGGTTGTGAGCCACCATGTGGTTGTTGGAAATTGAACTCAGGTCCTCTGGAAGATCAGCCAGTGCTCTTAACCACTGAGCCATCTCTCCAGCCCCGCCCCCTTTAATTTAATAAGCCATCAACTCCAATTTGTGCTATCCATATACCTTTGGAAGTAGGGTCATTCACTGGGGCATGGTCAGTCTACCAGGAGCCATACTCTTAAAGTAGCTGTACTGTCCTTAGCTACTCAGGGGTGGAGGCTCCATGCGAGCACTTTGACGGGCTTGCTCTTGTGCAGGTCTTATGCAGGCAACCATGACTGCTATGAATTCACGAGTGCAGTGGTCCTATCATGTTCAGAAGGCACTGCTTCTTTCCAGTCCACCCAGACCTCAAACTCTTAGTCTTGCCACCCCTCTTCCACAATGGTCTCTCATACCTCTACTTTTGATTATTCTGACAATTTTCTATAATATAAACTTTTTAAAGCACTAAAGAATAATGTGGCTGATAGGATAAAAGAGAATCCAAATAGACAGAAAGAATCAAAATAACCTGATTATGCTGTTCCTTGAAATGTAGTCTTTCACTTTGAGGGTAAAGCATACATGTAATGGAAATTCAAATTCATTTTTAACTCCAAAGCCAAGATAAATTAATGCATGTAACCAAAATACATCCCACAAACAAAACCCATCATTAAAATTGACTCAACATATAAAAAATGTATTATATAAAGAGAATTAAAGTAAATGGAAGTCAAAGCTGTATTGCAATTTCAGCTTTCCAGACCTTTTTGCTGTATTACCTAGTGTCAAGTCATTCAAAGGAGTTGCTTTTTGGTTTATCTAAATAGTAACTTGGAAAATTTACTTTTGTTTCAGGATTGTGGGAATGAAATGGGAAGGATAAAATATTTCCAGAAAAGTTCTACTAAATGTTTACATGAAATAATTAAGTCTCATGCCATTATATTAGATTCTATAAGCAAGCATTTTTATATAGACCATCTCTGTGGAACACCACAGAATAACTCACAGAGGACTGCTTGTCACCGGTTGCACGTGGGCATCCATAGAAAGCCACAGCAGCCAATTCTGCAGTAGTTCTTTCAGACTTTGTAGAACACTACACTGAGGGGGAAACAAAACAAAACAAAGTCATCCAGAGCAAACAGTATTGAGACCTAACAGAGGCTAGAAATGGAAGAAACCCAGGAGATGGCCATATCCCACTGAGAACTCAAATAGTTGCTACTCCAATATGCACAGTCTACAAAGAACAGATAGATGCAAACACAGATTTATGTTACCATTTTTTCTAGAAGAAACATACCTCAACAAGACTTCCAGCTTAGCTCAGCAACAGAGTTTTCTCTAAGTCACGCTCCTTTATAACACATATTGCATCATTAAATAAACCATCACCCTTGGCCATGCATGATGGCACAAATCTATAAATGCCAGCATTTAGGAGATAGAATTAGGGAGATAAGGAATTCAAAAATGGTGCTATCGACACATCAAGTCTGATGCCAGCCTGGGCTACATAAGACTCTATTTTAGAAACAAAATCATCCTTATTGTCCCCCCAGAGATCATTTGAAGTTGCTACAAGGAAGAGTTCAATACCCCTTTTACTTTGTAGTCTTTGAATACAAGTTACTTCCTTTTTGATGGTTTTAAAAATGAATCTTCTGTAACTCTGGAAAACAAACATTTCTAATTCTTATGGTCTCAAGACTTTACCCTGCCCTTCTAGGGCCTCATTCACAATCCTTAACTATCTTCACTAAGTTGGGGCCTGAAAGTTAAATACTGTTCTCTATTCTTGATTCATTTTCCCTTCCCTTTTCTTCTTATCCCCACCCCCTCTCTGAAATATAAATAGATGTGTGGACAAATGGATGTGTACTTGCATAGTTGGCTAAATCATAAACAACTGCTAGTTACCAACCATCCTGCCTACAAAAATGACAACTGCTTACGGGTCAACCGGACATTCAGAGCTAAGTAACTCTTTAGATTGGTGTGGTAAGTGAAGAAATTAAAAAGAACTCAGCAAGAAGATTAGGAGAGAGTTGCAAAAAAAATCTTTTTCAAAATAGCCTCTGAAAATGTATCAGCTAAGATAACTAGGATTGCCATTTGAATAACAGCAGTTATAAGCAGTAAGCTACAAATAATATAAAACTACCAAATTCAAGTTACTGTGATAGGCAATAAAGTGAGAAATACTAACCAGAACAACGTATTTTTCCTATAAATGTGACCAATATTGAGCCATTGAAGGTATAAAATATTTGTAAAAGGGATATTCCATCATCATTCTTTCAAAGAGGAATGAGCATTCGATAGGAAAGTGGCTCAAGGGGTTTTGTTGGCTTTGGTCGCTACTGCACTCTCAACAGTTATGAAGATAGAGCAGAACATCATGCTTCATATCCTAATCCTAGCGCCTGGAAAGCAGAGGCAAGAACACAGATGCAGGTAAAAGGTCATCCTTAGTTCCAGGGAAAGGTCGGTGACATAGTTAGGCCCTGTCTTAACTTCACATCACCAAAACCCTCAAAAATGGAAATTAGAATATTTATGAGATAAATAAGCATTATGTTCAAATATCTGACAATGCATTATGATAAAAATACCCTTACATTTTAGCAACTGGGACTTTGGCTAGACCTCACAGCCTGAGCGAAGTTACTTAAAGCTTGAAGACTGCTAGCCTACTGTGTATCCCACCTGTATGTTCATCCTGCCTTTATGAGAAGAATGTAACAATCAACCGTACTTGCCTTGGATTTTCCGTGTCAGCTGATTTTACAACCTAAACTAGTGCATAGCTGTAACTATATGTACTTTTCCATGCCCCCAATCCCCGCCAACCCAGAACAATGTATGTGGTCTTTTTGTTTTTGTTTTGGGGTTTTGCTGAAAGCAGAGATAAATAGCCACCATAAATGTTGTACATAACACTTATGGATATTGGTTGATAAACAATGATATTTGTAGTTCTGTTTGTTGTCTGGGTCAGTTGGAACCAGTGGCCCAATTCCTTGCAAAACTCTCTTAAAGAGTTCAGTAAAGTACCATATTCTTTCTCTTGGTTAAATGACTCCAAGGGGAAGAATTTTTATTTCTTTAATGTGATACTGATGCGTTGTTGGTGACTTTAAGTTAAGAACAATGCATTCAATCCACACACGAGTATAAAATAGAAAACTCCAAGTATGATTATTTCCCAATTGGTTTGTTTTTACGTTCATGTTAATATGCATTTGACACATTTTTTATGATCTCATTTGCTGCTTACTAGTGTAAAAAGTTCAGGACAAAAGTGACAAAGCTTTCAAACCAGAAAGTTCTATGCACTTGAACTTTATATTCCATAATACAGGACAGTTACAAAATCAATGCAAAGGCTAGGTATGGTGAGTTATACCTGTACACTGTAAACAATGGGGAAGCAGGGGCCAGAAGGACTGCTGTCAAGCCTTGTCTATATAACAAATTCCAGGCAGGCCTAGGCTACAATAACTAGCAAAAGAAAGAGAGAGAGAGACAGAGGGAGGGAGGGAGGGAGTAAGGGAGAAAGTCATTGCTTGAGGGGGAGGGGGAGTAGAGGGTTAAGGGAGGGGAGGGAGAGGGTGAGGGTGAGGGTGAGGGAGAGGGAGAGGGAGAGGGAGAGGGAAGAACGGAAGGGAAGGGAAGGGAAGGGAAGGGAAGGGAAGGGAAGGGAAGGGAAGGGAAGGGAAGGGAAGGAAAGGAAGAGGGCAGTAATGACACAATGGGTAAAGAAACTTGCTGCCCAGCCTGATGACCTCAGTTCTAGCCCCAGGACCCACATGGTGGAGAAAACCACAAGATGACAAGATGACCTCCAAAGTTCCATGTCATGACACATTCATTGTGGCACACACACACACACACACACACACACACACACACACACACACACATACTCTCTCTCTCTCTCTCTCTCTCTCTCTCTCTCTCTCTCTCTCTCTAAATGTTACAAAATTTCAAAAGAGAAGAAAGAAAACCACTGCCAGAATTGCAGTTTGGAATTATTTAACAGCAGTTGATAGAAGTATGCTGTTTTTCCCTGAATAAGATGTATTTAGTTTTTTTGGTTGTTTGTTTTTGGATTTTTACCTTGAAATAAATGGTTGATGTAAAGAAGAGAGGAGCTAGATGGTCAAAAAGAAGTGGCTTCACCTCTAGGAAATAGAAAATAAAAGTATTCAAAATTGTTTTAATTTATATTACAGTGAATTAAATGCGTTCAAGTTGTGCTTCAAATGAGAATGTTCCCTTACGCTCAGACATTTGAAACTGGTCCACAGTTGGTGGCACTGTTCAAGTAGGCTTAGGAATCTTGGCCTTGCTGAAGGAAGTATGTCACCGGAAGTAGGCCTCAAGGGTTCAACGTCTAGCACCGTTCTCATCCACTCTTTGCTTCTTGCTTGTGGTTTAAGATGCCCTTAGAGGCCCCGCCCCACCTCCATGCCTTTGCTCTACTGTCATGCATTCTAACCCCCTGGAACCATACGCCAAAATAAACTCTTTCTAACTTGCCTTGGTCATGGTGTTTAATCACAGCAAAAGAAAAGTAACTAATGAGTTTTCATGATACATACCATAGAAGCTACTGAATGGAATCCAGGCCAGAAGCTGAAGGAACTGTGACCGACAAGAGAAGCCATCCCAGAGAGGCAGGCTCTTATACAGGAATGCTTCACAGGAGTAAAACCCCTCCTGAAACACAAGGGGATTGCAAAATGTCATAGAGACCCGTGAATACTCCTAGCCAGGTAGTGGAAGTGCATGCCTTTAACCCCAATACTCAGGAGGCAGAGGCAGGCGGATGTCTGAATTCGAGGTCAGCCTGGATCCAGGACAGCAGTGCTACACAGAGAAACTCTGTCTCAAAAACAAGAGAGCAAAAAATATTTTCTGTGAGTTTGGGGCCAGCCTGGTCTACAAAGCAAGTTATTGTAGGACAGCCAGGCTGTAGCATAGAGAAATCCCATCCTGAATAAACAAACAAACAAATAAACTAAACAAAACCCTAAAACATCTGGCAGTTGAGTCACATATCTTTAAACCCAGCACTTGGGTGGCAGAAGCAGGAAGATCTCTGAGTTCAAGGCCAGCCTGGTCTACAGAGCGAGTGCCAGGACAGCCAAGGACTACACAGAGAAACTCTGTCTCAAAATAAAAATCACAAACATTCTCTAACAACCACTTTATTTTGTATTACAGTTGTTTCAGATGCATGAAAGTATCTAGACAGTGTGAACACATGAGTTCCAGTTTCAGTGCTGGAGTTGGAGTTCACTTAGAGTCCTTGTCTAATTCCAGAACCTCCTAAACTGGATGTGGTCATGCACACCTGTACTCCCAGCATTCGAGGGCTGGAAATAGGATGACCTAATTAGGAGTTCAGAGTCATTTTCAGCTACATACTGACTTTAAGGCTAGTCTGGGCTAATGAGGCCCTGTCAAAGGATTAATAAATGAATTAAAAAGAACACAAATCATGGGCTGAGGATGTGGATCAATGGTATATAAATGCTCACCTAGCATGCAAAAGACTCTGGATTTGATTGCTAGACCCAACCTCCCCCCAAAAGAACACAAGTAGTAACCCTTTAAGATTTATAATCCTGGATAACTCAATTCATTGAATACATTAAATCATTTATTTTCTTAAAATTAGAGCACTTTTCAGTATTTAAAATTTTAAACTTGTTCTTTCTTCAAACATAATAGTACAAAAAAACATCAGTCCAACTTGGCTCTATGAATTTCAAGTTGAGGAAATAGTGTTTTTTGAAAAAACCAAGAATAAGGAAAATAAATAAGTAAAAATAAAAATCAATGGCATAGGGGGAGGGAAAGGGAGAGGGACCTGGAATTGACATGTGAAGCAGCCTCGTTTCTAATTTAAATTTAAATTTAAAAATAAAAAAAGAAGGGAAAAAAATCAATGGCATCAGGTACTAAGGATTAGGGTGTGTCTCAGTTGGCAGACTGCTTGCCGAATTTGCACAAGGACCTTAGTTTGATTTGCCAATACTGCAAAAATCAGGTGTGGTGGTGCATGTCTGTGACACATGAAACCTTACCTCCAAAACTGGAAACATCAAGCACTAAAGAAAATACTACAATGGACATCCAAACAAGCCTTAAGAACAATGGCATCTACAGGAAACAAATAGAATCTTACTTGTAAGAAGCATTGCACCCTGATGACAATGTCCAGGAAGTCTGTAAATTCTTTTTCTTGTTCATAATTATTTATATTATACCATATACATTCTAGAAAAGAAATATTAAAAATAAGCAACTGGTTATGCAATAATAAAAAACAATACAAAATATATCACTACTCTGAAGTGACAAAGAAATAACAGATTTCAAAAGTTATAAGATTCGAATATCCTGCCTAAGTGACATTATAGATTATAACAGGGATTTGGAAGTGACAGTCAGCAAAGATGATGACAGGGGAAAGCTTATAGTAAAAACACTGGAAAGGTTCACTTCCAATGAATGAGATTAGCTTCAAGTCACAGTAATCCAAGTGACTATAGATACACAGCGGAAAATAGGTAGGGTGAGTTGAGTAAGCTACAAGTGGTGAGAACATACAAAGTGAAAACCCGATTGTATCACATATCCTATAAAGGAAAACTCCAAGTCAAAGAAGCAATAGCCTATAGTGACTAAAACTGACTTCAAAGATTTCAATAGCCGGGCGGCGGTGGCGGCGCAAGCCTTTAATCCCAGCATTAGGGAGGCAGAGGCAGGCGGACCTGTGTGAGTTAGAGGCCGGGCTGGACCGACAGCCTCCAAAACAATACAGAGAAACCCTATCTCGTAAAAACCAAAAAAAAAAAAAGATTTCAATAGTCAGTAATTACATATCCAACAAATAAGTTCTCTTGATAGTCAACAAAATTACTAGGGAAAAATGTCACTGTGAATGAATGAAGTGCTCAGGGTTTACTATGGCCTGCATGAAAGACTCCCCACTGTCACTTCCTTTAATTTTATAATTAAGAAAATTTGTAATAACCAATGTGTCATTAGAGGAGGTAGTCTACTTGAAACATGTGATCATTTCTGTTGCCAGAAAGAATCACTTCTACTATAAAGTAAGTTGATGACTACCTTATATGGCATCCTAGAGCCTTCATCCAGTAGCTGATGGAAACAGAAGCAGACACCCACAGCTAAACACTGAACTGAACTCCTAGAATCCAGTTGCAGAGAGGGAGGAGTGATGAGCAAAGGGATCAAGACCAGGCTGGAGAGACCCACAGAAACAGCTGACATGAACAAGGGGGAGCTCATGGACCCCAAACTGATAGCTGGGAAACCAGTATAGGACTGATCCAGAGCCCCTGAACGTGGGTATCAGTGAGGAGGTCTGGGTAGTCTATGGGGCCTCTGTCAGTGGATCATTATTTATCCCTAGTATACAAATGGATTTTGGGAGCCCATTCCACATAGAGGGATACTCTCTCAGCCTAGACACACAGGGGAGGGCCTAGGTCCTGCTCCAAATGATATGACAGACTTTGAAGATCCCCCATGGAAGACCTCACCCTCCCTGGGGAAGAGAAAGGGGAAGTTATAGGGGGCTGATGGGAGGCAGGGGAGTAGGGGAGGGAGAGGGAACTGGAATGGACATGAAAAACAAGCTTGTTTCTAATTTAGATTTTAAAAATCTGAGAAAAATAAAATAAAAAAACAAAAAAGTAAAACTAATAAGTTGATACTATGTCCTATAAATTGATTTTCTGAGTTGGTTTAGTATTAATGATTCTTGCATGTTCTCAGGGATACAAAGAACTCTGAGATTGAGACCAACCATCTGGAAAGTTTTGATGTAGCAGTGTTCACCTAACACCACTCCATTTTGATTGTCTTAAAATGATAACATCACAAGGATTCATGTTCAAGATATATAATTACCAGATAATTATAGCATGTGAAGTCTCCTCTGGTCTAGAATTTCTAATCTAGAATAAGAAATCTATTTGCAAACTATCTTCTTCCACTCTCATTTATCCAGTGCTTTGCACCATCAATTCTTACCTTCTTGTAATGTTTGACTCAGCCAATAATAGAGCCTCAGTAAGATTGAATCATCTTTGACACAGTTAATATAGTGAAGTAGCAGAGAGTTGTTTAGCACTGAGATCATCTGAGAAGGCAGCTGTAAAGATGGGACATTCAATCAACAGTAAGTATATGAATTGTAGGTCACAGCAATCAGTAAAACATTACATAAGAATTCTACAAAACTAGAGGATCTGGGCCTGAGACAAGGCTCAGTGTAGAGTATTTCCCTAGCATGTGTGAGGCTGAGTTCAATCCCAAGTAGTAAAAAGAGAGGTATGCAGATCAAACAGAAGATTGAAGTCAGTACCTGCTCCAGGCACATACCTCTAAGCAATGAATGTTCTGTAAAAGTTGAGGGAAACTTTGAAGCTGTTCTAGTGGGAGTGATCTTTCACTGCTAAGAAAATCCGAGAGACTCTTCTTTTCCCCACATCCTATGTTAGCAGAATTTAGTGCTGGTATAACTGAGTGAGAACTCCATTTCTAAAGGAGAAAGAGAACACAATAAAAAGGCAATCTAAACAAATAAAAGCAAGTCAGATGTGGTGGTACACTCTTTTAATCCCAGCACTCAGAGACAGTCTACATAGCAAGCTTCGGGCCATCCGAGACTACACTTTAGAAAGATACTATCTCAAAAATAAATAATCCAAATCAGTTGTTAAGATGTTTCACTTAATGGGAGTCTGAATGTGGTTTGCACAGAACACTAGGTTATGAAAATCTATTTAAATACCTAAGATCACCACAATCTGAACTGTTAAAATCTATTTAAATACCTAAGATCACCACCATCTGAACTGTTACTATTTATAAAACCACAAGTCCTTTGTTGTTTTAGATTACTTACTCTTTTTAGAGAGCAGCCCTTAGTTGGACCTAATGTCAGCTTTGGAGGTTCTGGAAATGCTCCTTGGTTTCTTAGCTTCATGGCAGGCAGAGCTGAAGCCCAAAGATTCTTTGAATTATTAAAATAGATCTACAAATTTAGGTGTAAAGTACAGAAGATTAGGTACTTATGAGTCAGATCAACATAATAATAGTCCCAAACTATTAACTGATTGCATGTTAATTATAAAATATTTACATGCCTATAAATCCATTTAATGTTTTTTCTGTCCTAATCAGGAATCCATTATAATGCATCAAAGGGATCAACACAAAAGGCCAATCTCTAATACAACTTCTCCCAAGAGAGTTGGGAAAGATTTTAGCCCAAATCTTTAAATTAACATTCTAAAAACTAACACATTTTTTCTAGGGATTGTGGTGTACATTTGTATTTCCAGCATTTGGGAAGCCAAGGAAAGACCATACTAAAACACTTTCTCAAACAAAACAAAGTACACAAAAATGTATCCAATCTCAGTAGGACTTACTTTCAGTAATCTCTTACCTTCCTCCTTACAGGCAAAGATACAGAAATCAAAGTAGGAGCAAAGAACTTATACAGCGACAACAAAGCCTGGAGGTGAGGCTGCATTCCCTGAAATAAAGTAAGAATTTTCCATTTTCAGAAGTCTAACCCTATAGACTCTGATTTTACAATTCACCACAATAATACAAACTATAAAAAGTATAGAAATGAGTACCCACCTGGATGTGGTGGCACACACCTTCAATCCCAACAACCAGAAAGCAGAAGTAGAAATGAATCTCTATGAGTCCAGGACCAGCTGGTCTATATAGACAGTGCCAGGCCAGCGGGGCTACATAGTGAGAAACTATCAGTGGGATACAAGGGAGGGCCATTTGGGAAGAATCTTTATTTAGAAATGTCTCCACAGGACTATCCTATAGGCCAATCTGGAGGGTGGTTTTCTTGACTGATATTTGGGGCCCCAGCCCATTGCAAGTGGGGCCACCCCCAGGCAGGTGGTCTTAGGGTACATAAGAAAATAGGCTGAGAGACAGGAGAGATGGCTCAGAAGTTAAAAGCACTGGTTGCTCTTCCAGAGGTCCTGAGTTCAATTCCAAGCACCTACATGGTGACTTATAATCATCTGGAAGGGGATCTTATCCCCTTTTCTGGTGTGCAGGCATACATGTAGACAAAGCACCCATACACATAAAATATGTAAAAAGATAACTCTTTTTGTAAAAACATAGGCTGAGGAAGATGAAATAAACAAACTCTTTCCTTCCCAAGGTGTTTTTAGTCACAACAATAAAAACCCTAAGACATAGTCTCAAAAAAATAGTAAATAAATAACCAGATAATTTGTACCAACAATCTTCTTTTTTTTTGGTTTTTACAAGACAGGGTTTCTCTGTATTGTTTTGGAGGCTGTCGGTCCAGCCCAGCCTCGAACTGACAGAGATCCGCCTGCCTCTGCCTCCCGAGTGCTGGGATTAAAGGCGTGCACCACCACCGCCCGGCTGTACCAACAATCTTAAAACAAACTTCCCCATGGATAATCTTCTATTTTATAATTGTTTTCTTGTTTATTTCTTCCATGCATTTTCTTGATTCTTCTACCTGTATTTTAGTCTTACAACTCATATTTGCTAGCACAGCATGGGTTTATTCAGAATGGCAACTTACTCAAGCTTCAGTGTTTATTAAGCTTCAGTGTTTATTAATCTTTAGAGCGAGAAAGATAGCTTAGCTGTTAAAATCACCAGATACTCTTGCAAAGGAGCCAGGTTCCATTCTTAGCACCCGCATGGTAACTCACAGTATCCATAACTCCACTTCCATGAGTTCTGAACCCTCTTCTGGACCATTCGGGCACAGTACACATGTGGTGCACATGCAGGCCAAACACCCATACTTATAAAACAAATAAATCTTTAAAAAATGAAATAGCAGCCAGGATATGGTGGCACATGCCTTTAATCCCAGCACTTGGGAAGGGGAAGCCAAGGAAAGCAGATCTCTGTGCGTTTGAGGCCAGCATGGTCTACATAGCAAGTTCTAGTATAGTCAAGGCTATAGTAAGTGCTGGGAGGTAGTGGCACACGCCTCTAATCCCAGCACTCAGGTGGCAGAGGCAGGCTGATCTCTGTGAGTTTGAGGCCAGCCTGGTCTACAGAGGGAGTTCCAGGACAGCCTCCAAAACTACACAGAGAAACCCTGTCTCAAAAAAACAAAAACAAAAACAAAAAAGTAAATAAAGTATACTCATCCTTGAATTAAATATTAAGGCAGTAAGACCAAGAGTGAAAGTCAAGAAAACAGAGCAGAAGAGATGGTGATTGAACAGGAACATCATAAATCGTGAAATTCATTCGGAAAGTCAGTGAAGCTTGAGATAGGCACTGTAACCCACTTTTCATATACTTGCTGTTGGTGATTGACTGTCCTATCTTTACAGTTGCCCTTTCTGGTGTTATATGATAGTCAAGTAGCTTGACATAGTCAAAATAAGTCTTCAAAAACAATAACTTCAAAACAGAGCGAACAGCTGTCAATAAAGCACATGCCTGGCAAGTACAAAGACCTGAGTTCCATCCCCAGAAGCCAAGTTTTAAAAAGCCATGTGTGGTGGTATATGTTTGGAATCCTAGGGTTAGAAAGGCAAAAACAGGTGGATCCTGGGGTTCACTTGCCAGCCACTCACTTGCCTAGCCTACTTGGCAAACTTCAGACTACTGAGAGGCCCCGTCTAAAAAAAGGTGGGTAAGGACTGATAAAATGGCTCAACAGGTAAAGGCAACTGTAGCCAATCCTGATGACATGAGTTCACTCCCTGAGACCTGAATGGTAGAAGGAGAAATCCAACTTTGGCAAGTTGTCCTCTGATATCCATAAGCACACCATGGCACATGATGCATACCCACACATCTATACAACACGCGTGCGCGCGCACACACACACACACACACACACAGAGTGGAAGAGAAGATTCATACACACACATGATGGATGGATGGATGGATGGATGGATGGATGGATGGATGGATGGATAAAGTGGTAGGTAGCTCCTGAGGAATGACACGATCTCCCTGTACACACATACACACACATGAATGCACCCTTGTAAACATGTGTACACACATACAAATCCTAACTTTGGAGTCACAATTGTCTCAGTGGTGAGCTCTTGCCTAGCATACGTAAAGTTGTGGGTTCAATCTGTAGCAAAACACAGAGTAATGTGTGCATACACCATTTTTTTAAAGACCACGTATCATTACAGACACCTTTAGGACTTATTGTATGGCTGACAATTTATCTTTTGGTTAAAAATTAACATATTGTACTAGAGATTGAATTAAGGCTTCATGCATGCTAGGCAAGTACTCTACCACTAATCTATACCTTCAGCTTTGATAGTGATTTTCCACTTTGTTGACTGAGTTCTCAGAAAGTAAGTTCCTTCTAGCTAAGACTCACTTGGCTTCCTATCTCCAAAGCCTAGCTCAATAACTAGTTCAAAGTCAACTGAACACTCTAAGGTATTTTCTGTACTCACCATTTTGACCTGAAGATCAAGCAATTTTCTCACACGAAATGGCTTGACTTAAAAACAAAAAGAGGTTGTAAGCATTTGCTTCAGCAAAAGAAGTCAGTTATACTTATTACCATGTAATTAATATAATTTCTTCTTACAACACATTAAAGATATAATACCTCTTTAGTGAAGCCACTATGCAGTGGCTCTTAGATAAAAGTACTAAAAATAATTTTTAGAAAGTGAGTACTGTCATGTAACTAATGCTAATAGTTATTCAAGTTTATAAAGGACTAAACAAATGCTGATTCTATTGAGTGAAAGTAATACGACTGGAATGAAAATACTTACCATTCTCTTTTTTAGTCAGTAAATATAACAAATGGCAAACATAGGGGCACTGTTAAAACATAAAAATAAGAAAAATGACAATACTATTTGAACAAAATAACGCCATATCTTCCTCAAATGTCAATCATATGCTAAGACAACTTTAGGGCTTTACTGAACAATAGTTTTACAAAGCATTCTCTTATTACACAATAGCATTCCTTATCAGAAATCCTTGACACCAGAAGTGACTATATGACCTGAAATATTTCCATGCACTTAATAAAAAAGCTAAAGGATAAGCTGGGCGTTGGTGGCGCACGCCTTTAATCCCAGCACTCGGGAGGCAGATGCAGGCGGATCTCTGTGAGTTCGAGGCCAGGCTGGACCGACAGCCTCCAAAACAGAGAAACCCTGTCTCGTAAAACCAAAAAAATAAAAAAAAAGCTAAAGGATGATATCTAACATAAAATTCAGTGGTGATTCGTATACACACTATACAAACAGTGTGAAGGTATATTTACACAATGATTTTAGTGTGTCTGTGTTTTGACTATGGCTTGTTGCATGAGGCGAGGAATTTTCCTTTTTTTCTCTTTGTGAGATATATGTCCACAAATGTGCAGGTATTCATGCATTCTTTCAGATATTCAGACTAGGTATGCTTAAACCTATATGTGACAATGATTTTTTTTTAGGAAATAGCTTCAATTGGCAACAAGATTAGTGAAATTTTTTGTTTGCCTTTAAATTTTTTTGAAGATCTATTTTTAATATGTATGACTGCTTGCCTACATGTAGGTATATGCACCACATGGCCACCTGGTACCCATGGAGGCCAGAAGAGGGTGTTGGTTCTGCAACTGGAGTTACAGATAGCTGTGAGCCATCATGTGGGTGTTGGGATCTAAATCCAGGTCCCCTAGAAGAGCAACAAATGCTCTTAACTGCTGAGTCATTCCTCCAATCCAATATTTGTGTTTTGATATATAAAAACAATGTGGATACTTTTGAACAAAATTTTCTTTGGAAAAAAGAAATGTGGTATTTATACACAATGGAATTTTTCAGTCATGAAGGAAAATGACACGTTACTTGCAAGAAAATAGATGCAACAGGAGATAACCATATTGAGAGAATTAAGCCAGGCTCAGAAAGATGAATACTGTATTTTCTGTCATGTATAAATACATAAAATCATGTACATACATATGACTTGAAAGTAGAAGCAAAAATGTCTAGGTGAACAAAGTGAATTGATTAGTGAGAGGGAGAATGAGAAAAATGCAAGGTAGGAAAGTATGGGGGAACATGCTCAATATGTAATATATACTTGTGTGAAATGTCCTTATTTCATGCACCACGTACAATGAACATTTAAAATGAAAACTTCCAAAAATAAATTTTTTGAAATTGTGTTCCTTTCAGTATCTGTTCATATTTACTAAGATACAAAATTAAAACCTTTATCCTCAGAGACTAAGGGCACTTGTTCTTCCCAAGGACCCCAGTTTGATTCCCAGCACACAATAAAGTGGCTCCCAATCATCTGTCACTCCAGTTCCTGGGCATCCAATGCCCACTCTGACTTCCTTGGGCTCCTGTATGTACATAGTGCACATATATACAACCAGGTGCACACAAATACACATAAATGATGGCCTGAGTTTGATCCTTGGACCTAACAGTGGAAGGAAAGAACCAATTTCCAGTGGTAAGTGCACATTCACACTCACACATAGAAATCATACTCACCCTTGTGTATACACATGAATAAAATAATAAATACATGATTTTTTTAAAAAAGGAACACAATGATATTCTTTAAACAAACTGGCATATTAGTAGTCATTACCCTATAGTCTGAAGTATACAATATTCTATACTGCTTTTTCTACGCTTAGAAATGGGTTCAGATAGACTCTAACTATAATTTTAAGAAGAATTTAGATTTCAGTACGAATTCATTACCTCACACCCCTAGGATATGAGCCATTAGCAACACTATTCATCATGTTGAATACAAAATGAGCCCCACACAATTGCTGGCCTGAGGCTCCAGCCAGTATTATAGGAAATCTGACATTCTCCTTTAATCACATCTAGAAAGGAAAAATCCATATGCATCTCATACGTTGGAGTTGCCTTGATGGCAAATATTTAACTACCACATCTGAGTCACTTCAGAGTCAGAATCCTATCAAATTGTATGAAGATGACTTTTTAAAAATATTACTTTTAAATGCTAAATCCTGCTGCTAGCCATGATGACTCACATCTCTAATCCCAGCACTGAGAAGGCAGGAAGATAACAAATTCAAGGTTATCCTGAACTATTCAGGACCTTTTATCTCAAACAAAAAACAGAAAATGGGCCCAGTGAGCGGACTCAGCAGATTAAAAGCATTTGTTGCTTCAATCTGATGACCTGAGTTTGATCTCTGGAATTCACAATGGAAGAAGTAAACCAAGTCCTGAAAGTTGTTCTCTGAAATTTAGGTACCCATCATGGTAGGTACACAAACACACACACACACACACACACACACACACACACACGCACACACACACACACACACACTCTCTCTCTCTCTTTCTCATACACATGCATTATAAACACAACATACATTTCTAGAATTTTTCTAAAAAGGAAAAAAACTTAGAGACTTTTTCTCTGTTTGCTGAGCTACAAAAATGTAGTCACTTAGAAAACAAAGTTAGTTAGAGGGGCTGAAAAGTTGGCTCAGTGGTTTGATTCCTACCACCCACATGGCAGCTTAAAACTGTCTGTAATTCCAGTACCAGGGGACCTAAGGCCCTCTTCTGACTACCAAGGGCACTAGGCACACATATGATGCGTATATATAAATGCAGACAAAACACTCATACACATAAAATAGTTAAATAAATATATTTTTTAAAAACCACAGAAATGCCAGGCGGGATGCAGAGGCAGACAGATCTCTGTGAGTTCGAGGCCAGCCTGGTCTATGGAACGAGTTCCAGGACAGGCTCCAAAACAATGCAGAGAAACCCTGTCTTGAAAAAAAACAAAAAAAAATCCCACAGAAGCATTTACTCATTTTAAAATGCTAGCATGGTCAAGCAAACTAGCTCAGCAGGTAAAGTTACCTGTTGCCAAGCCTGACATCCTGAGTTCAATGCATGGGACTCACATGATGGAAAGAGTGAACTAACTCCAGCAAGTTGTCCCTAGCCTCCATACAGACACCCACATATCATACACACAGAAAATAAATAAATTATAAGGGGCAGCAAACTGGCTCAGAAAGCAAAGGTACTTGTTGCCTGACAAGAAGAGTACAATCCCCAGAAGCTACATGGCGGAAGTAGTGAACCACCTCCCTCAAATTGTCCTCAGATTTCCACACAAGTGCCTTGACATACGCATACACAACACAGAGGCAGGTAGATCCTTGTAAGTTCTAGGATGACCTGTTCCACATAGAAAACTCCAGGCCAGTCCAAGCTACATAGTAAGACCTTGTCTCAAAATAGAAGAACAAAGTTCAACTTCTAATGGAATAACCTCTATAATCTATTCTCAACACACATTTCTCATCTTACTAACCACCGTCACCTAATACCAACTTCAATTAAGTCTGGCTAGTGTATATGTAAAGTCTCCTAAAAAACAATTTACATGTCTCACGGCTTTGCCTGAAACCTTCTCCTCATAACAAACATTATTTCCTCCTGTCAAATTCCTAAATCACAGAGCATGGTAGCACACCAGTACTAGGCAGGTAGAAGCAGGCAGACCTCTAAAGTCAAAACCAGCCTGATCTACATAGTAAGTTCCGAGCCAGCCAGAGCTTCATAGTGAGACTCAAAAATAAGAAAAAACAAAATCCCAAATTCATTCCATCCTCCCCAGGCCCAGCTCACCACACACATCTTTAATAATCACTCTGATTTTCAGGGTTTCATTCTCAAATATAGTAGAGTAGTCACTATGTTTATGTCATTTTGCTGTCTTTCATAACTGAATTCTTTTGTCTATGTAGCACATGTGTGCAGTGCCTGCAGAAGCCAGAAGAGGGCATCTGATCCCCTGAAACAGGTTATAGTAGCTCAAAAGGGACCATATTTTGATCCACCTTATAAGTGCTCAGAATTGAATCCACGGCCCCCAAAAGAGCAGCAACTGCTCTTAGCCACTGAGACATCTCTCTAATGTCATAAGTCAATTCTTGAGTTATTGCCGTCATGTGAATTCTTTAATTCCCTTGCTACATTTTTGCATTACTCAACTACAGAAAGCTATCCTAGGGGTTGGAGAGATGGCTCAGTGGCTAAGAACACTTGTTGCTTTTGCAGAGGATACAGATTCTATTCCCAGTACCCACAGGACATCTTACAACTGTTTATAACTCTAGTTCCACTCTTCTGAACTCCATGGGCACCAAGCCAGCAGGCCAGAACACAGACATACATGTGAGCAAAACACTCAGACACATAACATAAGTAAATCTTTAATTAATAAATAAATTTATTCCTACCTAGTACAAGGCAAGAAATAGGATACAGCATAAATTTCTGTAATTAAATCAATGCATGAATTCCATTCCCAAAGTCAAGAGGAATTCGGTTAGGTATGTAACTCACACGGTCTATAAACGCACTGTCCTTGAAAGTCTTCTAGATGGCTGGCTACTAGATTGATTTGTTGGCATTACTGATGTTTTTAATAGGAACAATTATGCTATTAAATAAAAACGTCAGTCCATTTTCAACTTGTGAAATGTAATGTTTTCCTTCCATGGATTCTGATGTAGTTTTTGCAGTGTCAAGAAAACTCAGAGTAAGTCACCCAAGGACTCTCCTGACATGGTTTAAAAGGGAAAATGACAATCACTGAGCTAAATCAACAAAACTCTTTCTCTAACATTATTTCCTTAAAAGAAGACATACAGCAAATACCACGGATTTGTTAGCCTGTGAAACAGTACAGCAAAGATCTCTGCTGTGTATTTCTTTCTACTTTCTGCATTCTTGGTACATCTTAAAATAAGTACGCAACACACATTAGTGGGCATGGCAATATACAGAAAAACAGGATTTAACCAAAGTCAATGCTCTTCAGCGCTTACTTACCAGAGCATCATCTTGCAATGAAGCAAAAAAGAAGCCATAGAGCAAATTAATTTGCTTCTTATGATCGATAAAGTCAAACATTGCAACCAGCCAACGATAAAAAAGGACCTGTTAACAGAGAAAATACTGTCTTTAGAGAGTATAACTAATTGTCCCAGAAGAGCTTTAATCTCTCCTCAGTGTTATTTTAAAAGCTTCTAGCACCAAGTAGGATAATAGATTTTTATTTCTTGTAACGATTTCTTTTTGAACAGGGTCCTTTTATCAAGCTATATTGTACTGAAACCACAGGTTATGTACAAAAGGTCTGTGCCATTACTCCGTAAGTGGCTCTTCTTTGCTAGCCCTCAAGTGGGTTCTGAAGGACTTAGCCTCAAAGTATCTAAAAAGATTACCTTGGTATTACCAGAACACTTGCCAACACAGAGCCAGGACACCGCCTTAACCACAGAATCTTCAGATATGAGAGTTTCTGGAATCATGCACTTCAATATCCGTGTGTTTATAGCATTCCCTGGAAAGCAGACCAACTCTAAATTAAACTGGATTTCAGTGTCTCAATTGTTCCTTTACTATGATCATAACTCTCTAAAACAAACTAAAAAGCAAACTATTTTGTGTGTGTACGTGTCCATGTGAGTGCAGATATGTGTGCATGGAAGTATGCATCTGTATGGAGGCCAAAGGTTGATGCTAAGGATCTTTCTTAATTGTTCTCCACCTTACTTTTTAAAAGTTATTTTTATTTTATTATACTGCATTATTTTATGTGTATGGGTATTTTGCCTGCATGTATGCCTGTGAACCATGTGCATGCAAGGTCACTGAGGTCAGAATAGGGCACTTGATCCCCTGGCACTGGAGTTAGAGATAGTTGTAAGCTGCCACTGGTGCTAGGAATCAAACCTGGGTCCTCTGGAAGAGCAGCAAGTGGCCCTAACCACTGAGCCATCTCTTTAGCCCCATGCACCTAATTTTTTTAATATACATTGGTGTTTTACCTGCATGTATGTCTGTGCAGATGTCAGACCGCCTAGAACTGGAGCTAGAGACATTTGTGAACTGCCATGTAGGTGCTGGGAATTGACCCCAGGTCCTTTAGAAGAATGGCCAGGGTTCTTTACCACTGAGTCATCTTAACAACTGGGCCATCACTCCAGCCCCACTTATAGACAGGGTCTGTCAATGAACCTGGAGCTCACAGACCCAGCTAGATTGGATGGTCATCAGATCCTATGGATCCTCTGCTCTCCGTATGCTCAGTGCTGGGATTACAGATAAATGCATGCCTCTGCCCTTGGCTTTCTTTCTTTCAATGTATGGGTTTTTTGTTTGCATAAATGTATATGCATCACATATATATCTAAGGCCAGAATATGTCAGATCCGTAGGAATAGGGTTATAGAAGGTTGCTAGGTGCCATGTGGGTACTAGGAATTAAACTCAGATCCTCTGGAAATGCAGCTAGTGCTCTTAACCACTGAGCCATCTGTCTAGTTCCTTGCCCTTGGCTTTTAAGTGAGTAATGGGAAGTCATACTCAGGTTCTCATTTTTGCATGGCAAGCACTTTGCCAACTAAACCATCTCCCCAGCTCCTAAATCAAATTATTTGACCCAAATAATCTATTATAAAAAGGAGGTTGAAGGACTGGGCAGTGGAGTTGGCGCACCAGCACTTGGGAGGCAGAGGCAGGTGGATCTCTGAGTTCAAAGTCAAAATGATCTACAGAGTGAGTTCCAGGGAAGCCAGGAATACACAGAGAAACCCTGTCTTGAAAAGGGTAGGGGAGAGGTCAAGAGCTGATTATGGAGGTATAGGCCTATAACTTAGCACTCAAGCAGACACAAGACGATCATAAGTTTAAGGCCAACTTGAATCATGTAGCAAGACCTTGTCCCAAAAAGAAGAAATGAGCAAAGAGTTTCCTTTTAAGGTGATGAAAATATTTAGTAATTAGATAATTTTGATGAATGCATGACTCCATGAATACAAAAAAGATACAACGTGGATTTTTTTTTCAGTACCAGGGCTTAAACCTAGGGCCTCATGCATGCTAGCCAAGCACTCTCCCTGTTCCATATCCTCACACTAATACATTCCATTTTTAAACCATCCTGAATTTTATATGAATTATATCTCAACATTAAAAAGCCTTTCAACCCAGTAGGGTGGCACACACCTTTAATCCCGGCACTAAAGAGACAGAGGCAGACGGATTTCTGTTGTGTTCCAGGCCAGACTGGTCTACAGAGCTAGTTCCTGGACAGCCAGGATACACAGAGAAACTCTGCCTCAGAAAAAGCCTTTCAATCACAAGGAAATTTCAAAGTGGTTTTCACTTTCATTTTGTAAAAACACAATAATTAGTAATGGGTTAAACCTACTAACAGGTATTTTCATGAGTTGCTACATTTAAAGAATTTTCTTAAAGGGCATGGTGACTCAAGCCACTATTACCAGAACTTGGGAGGCAGAGGCAGGCAGATCTCTTAAGTATGAAGGTCAGAGGACAATTAGTGGGAAAGTGGGAACCGATTCTCTCCTTCCACTATGTGGGTTCCAGGAACTGAACTCAAGTCCTCAGGTTTTCAGGCAGGTCTGATGGGTCAGCTTGTTGGCCCACACATATTAAAGATAAGGTATCCTGAATGTCTTAACATGGGTGAGAGAAAACTAAATATAAATACTGATAAGGTGGTATTTCTCAGCCTCTCTCCTACCTCTACACTAACCAATGAACTTAGGACAGGAAGCATGAATGAGAAAAGCACCTTGGCTGCCAGAATCCGATACTAGAATGAAGAGAGTATAAACAGGAACTTGTCAGATAAATAAACCTGAAGCAATGAAACATACTCAGTGAGCTTTTAAGTCCCTCTTTGGAAACCTCCAAAGACTCCAAGCACATGCGTGGTATTCATACATACATGCAAGCAAAAACATTCATACACATAAAACAAAATAAATCTTTTTTTTAAAGTGGTGTATATCTGTATTCCCAACACTTGAGAAGCAGAGGCAGGAGGATCAAAGCAAATTCAAGACCAGGCTAGTCTACTTAGGAAATTCTAAGTCAGCTTCAGCTATCATATTGTGTCTCTTCTGCTTTTCCTTTGTTTTTCTTTTTTTCTTGTGTGCTTGTATGCTTTGTTCTATCAGGGTTTGTTTATGTGCTGGTTTGTTTTCTAAAGAGACACAAAGAAAGAAGGCATGGAGTAGGATGGGTGGGGAGATGGGGATGATATGGAAGATGAAGGAGAAACCATCATCAGAATATACTGCATAAAAATTATTTTCAATAAAAACAAAAAAAGACAGTACATTTTCTTTAGAAAGAAAAACCAAAACAAATAAAAACCAAACGCTTTCTAAATGGCAAAATTAATTGGAAACTGATAATAAATGTAGCAGCTCAACATACCAAACTTGCCACTGAGTGCCACACTTAATAAAACATCAATTGCTTCTGAAGTTAAGCCATTTTTCCAAGCCACATTTTCCACAGATTTCAAGTGTTTTTCCAAGACTGTATCTTTATTCAGCGAGGCTTTCTTGGGACCTAGAAAAAGAAACACTATTAAACAATGAGCCCTTGGAAATTCTCTCAGTGCTCATTCTCAACAATTACAACCCTGGGACTTATTAAAGGAATAGATTTATACAATGTCTTCCTTTAACAAACAAACAAAAAACCTTGAGAGCCTTTATTACTCAATATTTCGCAGCAATAGGATCTTTTTTGTTGTTGTTCACTTTTTGAGACAGGGTTTCTCTGTGTAACAGCCCTGGCTGTCCTGGAACTAACTCTGTACTACCAGGCTGGCCTCAATTTCAGAGATCCGCCTGCCTTGGTCTCCCAAGTGTTGGTATTAAAGGCGTGTGCCACCACCACTTGGCAACAACAGAATATTCACTGAAGAAAACTTCCATCATGCCCTGACATCTCAGTGTGTGTGTGTGTGTGTGTGTGTGTGTGTGTGTGTATTTTAAATGTCTCCAGTGTTGGCATTACAGGTGTGTACATCTCAGTGTGTGTGTGTGTGTGTGTGTGTGTGTGTGTGTGTGTATTTTAAATGTCTCCAGTGTTGGCATTACAGGTGTGTCTGCCACTACATTCAGCAATTAGGACTGAAATATTTTTAGAGAGAAATAGGACTTTCGGGGCTTGGGCTGGGTTTGTAGCTCAGATTCGAGAGTGCTGGGTTCTATCACCAGCTCCACATAAACCATCAATCAAGAGTTAGAGGCACTCAGATTGGGAGCTCAAGGTTACCCTCAGCTACAGAGTGAGTTCAAGGCCAGCCTGGGACACAATGAGACTCAAAAAGAATAAAAAAATAACCTGCACTTTCATAAGGAAAACAATCTGCCTTTACCTTTCTGAAAGTATTCTACTGCCTTATGCAAGTCATCTTCAGCTTGATCATCAGCAGATGTAGAATCTTCCACTGAATGGCTTTCTTTCCCTTTATTTACCTTCCAGGCTAAGAGATTGGTCTGGGAACTATTACTGCCTTGAGAAATTCTGTTTCGTAGCTGGGAGCTTCTAGTATTCCTTTGAGTTGTCATCACTGTATACATGTTCTAGACAGAAACAAGCACCAAGTTACTATTAATCAGCCAGCGACAATTGCCATATTTTCCTGAATTCCCACATGCAATAGGTATTCAATGACAAAGAATCCAGGAGACATAACCCATAGGCTTTTTTAGGAAGCCCTTGACCTGAGCAGAAATAGATTAATAACTTGCCAATGTAATATATATCAGCTAAACTGACAACTTATATTCCCTTTTAAAATGGCTACATTTTTTAAGTACAAAACCATCCCATCTCATAATTACAATCTTTTTCTATGAGTATTTTATATACCCCCCATGATTTTGCTTTCAGTCTTTATACTCTTTTTTGTCAGTACTATGTTAAAACTGCAAAGTTAAAAAAGCTCTCACTAGTGTCCAGGGTAAGTAACATTATCCACTTATTAATTCCTACATTCAATAAGTAATTACTGCATATCATCTTTATGACAAACACAAGTCTGATTACCAGGACTGTAAAAATAAAACATCATGGTACCCATTTTCATGAACCCTACAGTGGGGGCCCAGGGTTATAAGGCACTGAATCAGTAAATGACTAGTGCAGTGAGGTGACAGAAAGGGGTGGAGTAGGAATCTAATTTTGAGCAGGTATTCAGAGAAAGCTCGTGTGGCTTGAATGAGAATGCCCCCATAGGCCCACACAACTGAATACTTGATCCACACTTGCTGGAACTATTTGGGAATGACTAGGTGTGTCCTTGTTGGAGGAGGATGTGTCACTGGCGGTGGGCCTTGAGATTTCAAAATTCCACACCACTTCCACTTAGCTGTGTGCCTTGTCTTTGTGGATAATATATAAGTTGCCTTGGTCATGATGTCCCTTCACAAGAAAGAAAAGTAATTAAAACACCCCTCAAAAGTGAACTTTAAGGTGAAATCTAAATGCCAAGGAGTGTACCATTTGAAGGCGTAGTGGAAGAGTATTTTATGAGAAGAAAAAAGGAAAACATCCGAGCAAGAGAGAACTTTGTGTATTAAAGAATACACACTAATGCCAGTGTGGACAGTGAGATAAACCGGGGTAAATTGACAGATGACGTCAGAACAGTAACAAGGGAGATCATATTGCCTCGTGTATGCAGAGTGAGGGCTCTGACTTTCCAGTCAAGGGAAACCACAGGAGAAAGAAAACGTAAGACCATTTTTTTTTCTGTAGTGTAGAGACTAGAGTTCAGGAGTGTTGAGAAAACACTTACCAGGCTTTGCAAAAAATCAGATGACTGGCCTGTAGTAGGCCTAAGTTGTGTACAAAAGACTCATAAGTCCTAAAGGCAGACGGGATGCTCTATTCAGCAGCACATATACTTGGGTAGACTGTTAAAAAAGAAAAAACAACAAAGAATTAGACACAGGTATAAGGGAAACAAGGGATGACTAATAAGGAACAAGACTGGCTTCTAAGTTTTTAGGTTCAAATGGGAAAATCTATGGGAACAGATGGAATGACATTCGATCTCTTCCCCCAAAACAGATGAGACCAGAGCAAGAGAGCACATAAGTCGGAGGGAGGGGAGGTCCAGTGACAAGAGCGTCTTACTTAAGACGGTTCAGGGAGCAGATTACGATCCCATTGGGCGAACAGCTCCAGCCCGTGGTTCAACTCACAGCCCTCCCCTCCCCACCTAACAGCGAAATTGGCAAACAGCTCCCCGACTAGGTCGATTCCTGAGACCACGGAGGGAAATCTGATTCCAGCTACCCTTTTCAGAGTTAGTCTCACCCTGGCTGGTCACAGTATTCCAGAACATGTCTGTGTCTGCAACGCAATCCCAGTGGCGCGCCTCTTCGCCTTGAGAACCTCCGTGTCTGAACACTCGGGCTCCAGAACGCAAAGACCGCCTCCAGGATTCAAAGGCGCCGGCTCCGCCCCGCGCATGCGCCCCGGGGGAGACCGCGGCAGGGGAGGAGCGAGTTTGCCTGAAAACTAATTGGTTTGAGTGCAGCTCTAAAAAGGCGGGAGGTGGCGTGCACTAGGGGAAAATGACGCAGCTAAATGACGCAGAGCGGCTGGCCCCACCCACGGAGGCCTGGGACACGCCCCGGCCGGCAGTTGCTACTGGAGTCGGTTGATTGGTGGCGTTCTCCGTGTTCTGAGAAGGTTTGCAACAGTCATTCTGAGTGAATGAGTGTTAAGTGGTTTGGCGTTGAATTTAACGTGCTCAAGTGTGGTATTCATTTTGCCCACATTAACCCCGAAATGTCGGGGCTTTGAATCTGCAGGAAAACGCGAAACTGAAAACTTGACAATAAAGGTGGCTTTTCCCCATGCTGTGACTTAAAGTGTCTGTCGCTTTCCTGTGGAGTTTAGGGTGACAGGGAAGTGGGGCGGGAGGGAATGGGCGGTATGAGGAAACCACAAGATCTGCCTACTTTTGACAGTCGATGGGTACAACTAATTCAAATTTACTAAAAACCATATTCTGGATCATATGTTAAGCCACCTTGAAGGTGGCTGTCAACATGTAAATAAATATTCTTAACCTTGAAGAACTAACTGACCTTAAACTAGCTAAACCAGCAACAAAAACTTACTGTGAGATCTAACTTTAGCCCCTAATTAAAGCATCTGTTAAACTAGGAATAGAACCCAGAGTGGTGGCTGTAGCGTCTAATCCCAGCACAGGAGAGACTGAGGGAGTCAAACCACCGAAGGTTTTCAGGACCCTCTGGGCTACAGTGTGATCTTGTCGTAAACAGAGTTAGTTCCAGGATACGCTCCAAAGCTACACAGAGAAACTCTGCCTCGAAAAACCAAAGAGAGAGACAGACAGAGAAAGAAGAACGAAAGAAAGACGGGAAGGAAGGAAGGAAGGAAGGAAGGAAGGAAGGAAGGAAGGAAGGAAGGAAGGAAGGAAGGAAGGAAAGAAGGAAGGAAGGAAGGAAGGAAGGAAGGAAAATTAAGGATAAAAGAGGACATGTAGAAATGTAATGCCTCTCAGCGACTTGCGGCCATAAGATTATTATGAACTTTATACAAAAGTATACAGGAAAAATGTGCCATCTCAGACAAGCATAAATAACCAAGAATTAAGTTGAAGTGTTTGAGATAGACATCAACCCCATCTATGACCTACCAGAGTGTGTGAAGGAACTGGTCCTGTGGAACCATATCTGCAGTATCTCCTTCATATCTGCAGTATTTCCACGAATTGAGGCATCAGCCTATTATCCAAGAGGAGTTTTGGTGAGGGTCCAGTATTGATGGAGTACCAGAAGCCAGGGGCCTTGAACTGACCCACAGTTCATTGCAATGAGCATTTGCAAGTAAAGCTGAGTGGACAAAAGGGTATACTGTGGGAAAGACATATAGCAGCTCCCAATGCCATTAAGATGAAATGAAGAGGTGTTGAAGACTCGGGAAAGAGGAGCTAAGTGGTTTTATGCTTATTTTTAATTAGTATTTTAAAATTTTTGATGGGGGAATGCTACAGGGATAAGGGGCACATATGTCAGGACTGGAAAATGAGCAGGATTGGGGTACATAATGTAAAATTCCCAAAGAATCAATAAGAAATTATGTTTAAAAAGGAAAGGAAAGGAAAAAACAGCAATAAAAGAGAAAATGTATAGATATAATGCCTCTCAGAAACTGGATGCCATAAGATTATTAGGTAATATATGCAAAACTATACAGGAAACATTTGCCATCTCAGACAAGCATAAATAATCGAGGATCAAGTTGAAGTATTTGAGATAAACTAGAGCAGAAACGACTACCACATCTAACATGGTTTTCAGAGTACTTTAACAAACTCATTTACTCATGCATAAAAATTGAGACTGTCCATTTTTTCTGATAGCTAGTCTTTAGGAAAATTGAAATTTTTATTGAGCCATTTATCATGTTTTTAATGATTTAATACACTCAAAGAAGTGTAAACTGGACAGGATTGAAGGCTTCACCCTCCTTTTCACAGATGAAATGAAACCCTAAGTGATGAAAAAACTTACTTAACATGACAAATTTGTGGCAGTGCAACTTGTCACTTTGTGGACATACTGTGGTAAAAGATACTGCTTCATATTTATTTAATGAATCCTTGGTTTTTTCTAAAATAATTTTTCTTTTTTTTTTTTTTTTGAGACAGGGTTTCTCTATAGCTTTGGAGCCTGACCTGGCACTCACTCTGTAGACCAGGCTGGTCTCAAACTCATAGACATCCGTCTGCCTCTGCCTCCCGAGTGCTGGGATTAAAGGCATGAGCCACCATCACCTGGTCTGAAATAATTTTTCATCTGTTCCTTTGAATCACTCAATAAAGACGTTCTTGAATCTGGAGATGGCACTGGGATCCTAAGGCTTTATCCTAAGACGAAGGCTTTCCCTCTTACATGGTAACTTCAAAAAAGGATGAAGGAACTTAAAAGGATGAACATGTTAGCAGCCTCATTTGTATACTGAGATTATTATACCTTTCTTCTTTTCTTCTTCATCTAGACTTCGTTTGTTTAAGAGCCCAGAGTTAGGTGTTTTGATACATACATTTAGCTCAGCACTCAGAAGGCAGAAGCAGATGGATCTCCCTGAGTTCCAGGCCAGTCAGAGATATATAAGAGACCTTATTTCAGAGACAGGGAGAGAGAGAGTGCAGGTGTGTCCTGGGTGTAGTGAGTGACATAGTCCTGGATGTCCAGTATTTATGAACTAAAGAAAGATAATCTCTTCTTGAAGGCCAATTTAGGCTACACAATGAAACCTTGCCTTAAAACAAATGAATACCACCAACAAACTCAAGAAATTCACACGGACAGAAGAATCCGAGTCCCTTGATTATAGGAATGTTTTCTTGCCAGATTTTCAGTCCATATCTATACCATGTCATCCAAATTTTGAAATCATTTATTTTGAAAGAATGAGCGAAAGAGGACAGTTATCAATATTACCAAGAACAAAGACACTGAAGGAAATACAGTAAGTACTCTCCCCACACACAACCCCCACCCCCTTTCCTATCCCTGGCACAATATTAAAACCATAAAAGCACAGTTAACAAAGAGAAACAGCAGTATGTAACTACGAAAGCAAGCTTCCATACTGCTCAATCCAACTAACCCATGTCAAATGCCCTTACCCTAGTTAAACTCCACCCACTGGAATGCTGAAGAGGTGTATAATACACATTTCTGGGGGTATTTTGGACTTCCTTAACATTAGCAAAGTTTGGTGACAAATCAATAGGAGTAGAGGACTCACTCATCTGATATATAAACACTGGCTATAACTTCTGCATTCAGTTTCATGTTTCAGAAAACTGCTAGGGCTGGAAATTCAAACTTCTAACAGGATCAATGGCTGATCCCTCAGTGGAAACTGTGGGGAAGCTGTCAGACTCTGGTTGGCTACTGGGAATAGTGAAAGTGGGGCAGTGTTGGGCTTAAAACTAAATTTGACCACAAATAATTGCTAATTGCATTTCAAACTGCAAGCCAAAGAGCTCACTCAGTAGCTTGGGCTCAGACAAAGGCAAGGAGAAACCTCCTACTGCGTCGCTTGAAGATGCAGACTAGCTATTAGCTGCATATATCCATTGTTTGAATTAAACTTGATGTTGAGTGTTTCAGACTTAAAAGTTGAGCTAGAGGCTAATTAAATTGAAGAAACTCTTCCCATAAAATGGTGAGTTTAAGTTTACAGCTTAATGCAGAAAGGGAATTCTACCCCAGATGAAAATAGGTTCTTTGTTTTCTAGCAGAATAGGAATCTCTTAACAGGAGGCTTCCTTTAGTCTACCTTTGCTCGAATTTGTGTATACGGGGAAGGACACCTGTGCCGGATTAGTTCAAGACCAGAGCCTCCTCTACACATGCGTGTATACTAACACACATGGCAGTTAAATACATTCCCTCACACTGCATCTCACAGTCACAGGCTTGCTGGAGTCCACCTCACAAACACCTCAGTAGTAGCCATGGGCAGTTACATGCAGCAAGATGTGAGCATTGCTCCAGAGTGATTAAAGGCGGTGCACGGATGGAAATGTGGGGAGGTCATTTTAGAGTAGAGATACACACAAGCCAATTAACTTGCAGTTTTTATTTGTCTCTTTTCCCCAAGATAAATAAATCAAATGAAAACCACACACTGTTATCTTCTTGGGTGTCAAGGAAGCAAGTGCTTCGAAAGTCCACTTTTTGCACTTTCGATTCCCTAGGACACTTTCACTTTGCCCTGCGGGGCCTTCTCATACAAGGAGGGTTGCTGCTCTGCACTCTCAGGCAAGGCCTTCTTCTCAGAAGGCCGTTCTTCAGGCTTGCGGGCAATCAACAGGCGGCAAGTGAGCAGGATTCCAAACACCAGAGCATGCGCATAGCGTTTGAGAGGATCACCGACCAGCTGGTGGAAGAAAAGCACCGCCAACACCAGCAGGAGCAGTAAGAAGTTGGCCACATCTTTGGGACGCCCAGGTACCAGGGTCATGACGATGCCACAGGCCACTTCAAGAGCGCCAATGCTTTTCCGAAGGAGAATGGAATTGATGCCCAGTTTCTTCAGCAGGGGAAGGGCTCGGACATAGCTCTTGTAAGCACGTTTCTAGAGTTGGGATATCATAAAGAAATCAATGCATTAGTCACAATTTTAACATCAGAATGAAGAAAACGCCAGCAAGGGACTTTTTTTCCCTACCATCACCTTTTCATACCAACCAAAAGTATCCCATTTTTCACCCTGTTCCTTAAATAAAACCTTGTGAATGGGATAAGAAAAATGGAGGCAAAAAAAAGAAAGAAAAAAAGAAAAGAAAAATGGAGGCAATCTCTTTGGGATCTCTAATTTAAAAACTATAAAAAATATAGTGTTGGAGAGATGGTTCAGTGGTTAAGAGCACTGGCTGTGTTGGGCATGGTGGCACATGCTT